GTTTGTTCTGCTTGGCTTTCAGCCACCGAGGTTTTGCTGTCTTGCTATTAAAGTACATTCCAGTTAAGCTTGTCTCAACATTCGTTACTGGACGGAGGAGGGGGTCAGAACACTAACCCTAACCCTAACCTCATACACACAGAGATATAAAGAGATGTTTCTGGTAGGCTCTCAGTTAATCCAGACCGAGTCCCTACTTATAGGCCTGCTGAATTAACAACATTAATAGAATTGATTTATTCTCTCACCTCCCCACACTTATGAGAAATGAGTGATGAGGATTCTACTTTCGTAAGACTGAGTACAGCCTATTATGTAGAGAATAAATAATATAAAGTATTAAACATTAGCAACTTCATACAGAGCCAAAATTATCTCTGGCACTAGAAACACCAGTCTGCTGAATGTTAAATATCTCCCAGGAGATGTGCATGCGATATATATTACAGAGCCATCCAATATGGAGCGAGAAAACTCATTATAGACATGTTCAATATGAACCAAGGGAGTAAAATTAGTTGAGCAGGAGAACTGTCCATGACAGCTAGATTAATTGACACTATTTGAATACATTCAGAAGGAAATGGAATCATAGCTACGTAAGATGTTTTTTTAATTCTTCTGCTTCTGTGCAATAAAGAAAATGCAGGTCATTGCCTTAACAGACCTTTGATAAGTACTTGCTGCTTCTGAGCAAATCATAGTCTCTTTTTTTCTTCCACACTCACACTGAAGCTCAACCTATAACATCAGAAAAACAGTAATTAGTTTCACAGAGATTTAACATCGTAATTACTAAGGAGCAACAAAGAGCACATTTACTTACTGGAATGAAATGGACTCTTGTTAATCTCAAAACAGCTTAGTTTTCTTATGTCACAATTATGACACTAAACAATTCGGATCATTTGCTAAAATTTAAACTGAGCGGCCTAGAGGACTTTTAAGGTAAAATCTATGAGATATTATGCCTCTTAATCATCTTGCAATGACAAAGAATCAGCAAACTGCATTATCAAAAGTGTTGTGGGAGATATGTCCAGAAACCTGTATTTTGAAGAGTGCTTCAGGCCTTTCTACTCTCCGCTACTTTTTACACCTACATGAAGCCACTGAGGAAAGCCAGAATAAGGGTTTAGCCATCAGGAATATTGTGGTAATACCCAACTATATATCATGGTCCCAGGCCAAACAGGTTCTATAGTAGCGCTACTAACTGTGTACCCAGAAGCCATTAGAATCTGAATTGGACAGTAAGGGACTGAAACGTAATCCCTTCAAGACAGAGAATCTTTGTGATGGTGGCTATTTTTATTTATTTATTTCATTTTTATTTATTTATTTCATTTTTATTTATTTATTTCATTTTTATTTATTTTATTTTTATTTATTTATTTATTTTTATTTATTTATTTCATTTTTATTTTATTTTTATTTATTTATTTATTTTTATTTATTTCATTTTTATTTATTTATTTCATTTTTATTTATTTCATTTTTATTTATTTATTTTTATTTATTTATTTATTTTTATTTATTTATTTTATTTTTATTTATTTATTTATTTTTATTTATTTATTTATTTTTATTTATTTCATTTTTATTTATTTATTTCATTTTTATTTATTTATTTCATTTTATTTATTTATTTTAT